CACACACACACACACACACACACACACACACACACACACACACCCCCTCTGGGCGCAGATGGACATGGCATATCTAGGCCCTACAACTGTCAATGTACTCACATCATCCACTTGCTGCTCCAGCTTGACTTTGGCCTTAGTCAGGGTGTTGACCTTGTCCTCCTCGGCCTGAAGGTCATCCAGGGCCTGCTGGTGGGCCTCTTGTAGAGCTTTCTTCTCCTTAGTCAGCTTGGCGATGATCTCATCCAGCCCAGCCATCTCCTCTGTCAGGTTTTTCACCTGCCGACCAAGAATCCCGTCTCCTTTAGGTTCAAAGGTCACCAGCTTGGTACCACCTATGGGGAGCTCCATGCCAAGGACCATGTTGCTCTCTGGATGCCAAGTGGCCAGCCTGGGTCAAGGTCAGTATGGTCGGGGAGTCCTGAGGAGACCTGGGCTAGCCACAGGGAGCTGCCCTCACCTTGTTCTCCGTTGCATGTTTCTCCTTCTCCACCTTGGCCAGTGTCAGCTCCAGGTCATCAATGTCCCTTTTGAGCTCTGAGCACTCGTCTTCCAGCTTGCGCTTCTTGGCAGTGAGCTCAGCATTCATCTCCTCCTCGTCCTCCAGCCTCTCATTCATCTCCTTCACCTTGGCCTCCAGCTGAATTTTGTTTTTGATCAGCTGGTCACAGCGCTCCTCAGCATCTGCCAGGTTATCTTGCTCCTGAGGGCAAGAAACAGAGGGGAGGCTGTTCGGGGGTCAAGGTCCTCATTTTTGGAAGTAGAGGGAGGGAGAGGCACATCCCTCAAATAGGAGGGGAACTCTAGGATATCCCCAGTTGCCAAGAGCTTCAGAAGTGTGGGGAGAAGATTCTTAGGGCAGTGTGACTTGGGAACATTGGGGAGGGGAGCAGAGAGGAAAGGAACCAGAAGTCTTCATCTGGACCTCTTCCTCTAGTCTCCTCCATCGAAGAGAGGGAACTGCATTTGCTGACACCAAGCACTTACATATGACGGCCCAATGAAATGGACAGATTTATTCCCTGTCTAGAGGAAACTGAGGCTCAAAGATGCTGGATGGTTTGTCCAAGGTCACAAAATTATTAAGCTATGGATCTAGGTTGAACCCAAGTAGAAAGCCTGTGCTTTCAAGTCAGCTCTTTTCCCTCTTCCCTTTCCTCCTCCTGAGTGACCTCTTTGGAGGTCTTTGGAAGTACTGATCCCAGAGTCCTCTGACTGAAGGAACAAGACAGTAAGTCCCTGTGCAGGGAGGTGCAGGGTTGTGGGAAGCGAAGGCAGAGCAGGATAGAAGAGCCAACAGTAGCCCAGGACCCTCACCGCCTGCACTTGGAGCTGCAGGTCGTTCTTCTCCTGCAGCAGGGACACCATCTTCTCCTCCAGCTCCTT